TGACAAGCGTCAAAATATTCTGTATCTTGCATATGAAGCTTTCTGACGTTCTGAACAACTACATTTCTTTCTGTCAGTAACTTTCTAACTTCATGGGAACAGCATTGTTTGAAACCATAATGAAATTTGCAACATTTTCACAAACTCTTTGGTCTTATATTTTCTTACAACAACTCCAACTTTGTCTCTGTTATAAGACTCTTCAAAGCATCTGAGTTCAAAACTTTGTTGTAATTCTATATTTGAAGTTCGTTACATCTATAAGTTTCATATTCTCTGATTGAAGAGTTAACTTGCCCGATGTTTTCATAATTTGTCATAATTCGGGTTCGAATAGCCTTAACAGTTTGCATAAGATATCTGTAAAGAATAGTGTTCTACCTGTCCTTGTTTTCCCAATTATAATGAGAGCATGTTTTCATTTTTAGCACTTGGATGTTGTTAAGATTTTGCAAACCAACACTAGATATTACTCATAAGACTCTTTCGTTTCCATTGCATATAATTTCTTTGTGACATGTCTAACAAGTTCTATAATATTTTTCTTGTCCATTCTACTCGTGTTTCATATTTAGTATTCAGTGAAGAAGAAATAGAAGTTTGGAGAAGGTGTGTATACACTTTATACCAGAACTGAAAAATCTCTAACTTTGAAACAATAAGATATCCAAGCATCTAACTATTTCATGCCACTTGTTACAACTTTTATTTTCTTAGTTTCTGTGCTACATTCTTGTTCAGACACTATTGTTTGCTCTTGGTTTTGTTAAAAGACTACATCATTCTTTCATAACATAAAGATTCTGGGCAGAGTCGACATAAATGACTAAACGTTTCAAATTCTCCGACTGCTTTGTTATAAGTCTCGAAAATGGACACCATATTTTCTGAATGTTTGAGAAGTCATAAAAAATCTGAAACATCTATTCTGTACATTTTTATAAAAATAAAAAAATATTTTTTTTAATTCTTTGAGCTATTTGTTGTTGAAGTTGTTCTTGAGCTATTGTTGTTGAAGTTGTTCTTGTAATACAATACCTTTCACCAGTTGCAATCTTCCAATTCGAAAACTTTCTGCGTCATTGACAAATCATAGGACATAAAAGTTTACAGGAACAAAGTTTTGCGTCAATAAGGTTAAGTTATGTTTGCCTAAAGTGTTTTGAGTTTACTAAATGCTGAAACTCTGGCATTCGAAATGAACAATAGGCAAACCAGCAGAGAATGTGTTTGTGTTATCGCATAAGTTACTTTTTTGGTCATAGTAGTTTCTGTCGACATTCGAATAAACTTTGAACTAAGTTTGAAACAATATATAAAATAGGTGTAACTTAAAGTCATGGAATAGACATTCCTTGTATGACACTTTTCCTGTTATAGGAAACTGTTGTAGTAAAAACCGATATAAGTTTTGTATTATAGCTCATATTGTTTAATAGTAAAACTCAGTCGGACATCCAAACATAATGAAACCCTGCTCTAGTTGCAGCACATGTTACACCCGTACTTAAAGTATTAAATAAGTCAACAAAACCTGTTGGTGGTATATTCTGAGTAAGTATCTTCAAAGGAGTATTTTTTACCATTCAACAACAATAAAATCTTCTGCGTGTCAAAAGAGCAAAACAGCTTTAGTCGTCATTGTGTTTAAGGTTAGTTTACAATATCGTCTTGAGGACTTTGTTAAGTTTGTTGTTATAGAATTATATGACTCAGGGTTTTTAGTCGTAATAGTAATAAACCACTATGTCTTCTGCATTTTACTTAGCAAATAAACTTTAATGAAATGTTGTGGGTCGTTCAAAATATTTTTAATAACGTCTGGGAAAACTATATTTTAAGTTCAACGTTTCACCTCCTTCTAACGTAATTTCTTGTCAATGACATTATATGAAAACACCACAGCAAACTAACGTCGGGTTCTATTTCTTTTGATGTTTATTATCGTCCTGCTCTCTGTCAAAAGTTCAATAGTTTCTTTCAAAACTTCATGAGTGCATGACATAATGAGTTCACTTTACAGGGTTGTGTTCGACCAAGTTTAACATTATACCTAAAGCTTGACAAATCTTCTCCTGAGTTTGAAGTTTGTCTTTCATTGTTGGTAGTCTTTCGGAATATCTGCAACAGAACTTAGTCTCTGCTAACTTCAAGGGTATGTTGTTGTCTTTTTACAGGAACAATTGTTATACCATCTTGTCTCGTATGGTTTCCCCACTTCAACATCTCTTCTTGACATTGACAAAACACTTTGACTGTTTGTTTTGAGTTGGTGATATTAACTTCACATCTGCCACCGCCATTAAACTTTTGAAACACTTACGCTTCTATTTTTCGGAAATGACATTTTACTTAGAATAAAAAGATGGACGTATTTGAGTATCTCTTCGAATTTGAAGCAAACAAAGTTTACACACCACAAACAATACAAATACATTGACAGAATAGTTCTTTAACAAACAATGGAAAATGTTATAGAAAATAGCAGTCTTTGCTGAACCAAAATATTTTCATAAAGCAAAGAAAGTTGGTATAACGAAATGGGTGAAAGTTCTTGAGCAGACAAAAATATATACAACAAAACTGACCGATATTTCTAAAGGAAAGTTTATTAATACAATATTTTCAAAACTGGCGTACTGTCATATTTGACGGAGAGAAGTCCAGTTCAAGAACAACTTACTGACCTGCTGCCAAAATCTGCTCGATGGAAGCTGTCCGTTATCCAATCTGAGGAGCCCCCAGGTTTCATCGAACGAATCTTCAAAAGAGCATCTTCCGTGAAAAGTGCTATTGGTGTTTGTAAACTTCTTTGGCTTTCAATTCATCTGGACCGTCTCTGTCACCAGTATATGTTATTTGTACAGTACCAACAGTTGAAATACACCCATAAAGTCTTCTGAGTCAGCAAATGGAATGCCAAGCAAAAAGTTTGAACGGTCTCCATTTGGTATATTGAGTTTTTTGACCTCCTGTATGAGTCCATACTTTCACATATGGCATAATAGAACTTTGCATTTCAGGGTTAATGGTTGTTGTGAAGTTGTTGTTAAAGTTCATAGCATCTAATGTCAAGTTGTATGACCTCAATATCTTCAACTGTAGAATTATTCTTCTCTTGGATAATATTTGGCCATCTATGTTTATATGAATATTAATACCAGGGTTGTAGAAACAAGAATAGTCATTTATAGTTTCGTCTGAACAGTACAAACATAGTATCTGATGTTTCATTGCAGTTGTTAAAGCAATATCTGTTCTTGCACCTGGGTCAGCACTTTGGTTTCCCAACTTCACCTGCAAAGTCTTTGACAGATATTGGTGTATAGGGGGAACATAAGTGGAACTGCAATATATTTGAGCGCTAAAGCATTTGAAATATCTGGGTCCAACATATAGACTGCAAGTCTGCTTTCTATTCTCTGCATTCAAATTTCGCATGTTGAACTTAACTGGGTCCCAAGCATCTCCAGCACCATTGAAAAATAGTTTACTTCAGTGTTGAGGTTTGAGAAACCAAAGTCTAAGTCAACTTTGTCTTTGCAAAATTCGGCGAATGACGTTTTTTTTGTTCCCTTTACGTCTGTAATAGTGAATGGGTCTTGTTGTTGGTGCAATGACTCTAAGTTTATTTTTGTCTGTGAAGTATTCAACAGAATTATTTTTTTTTTTTTTTTTTGTTTTTCTTTTTCCTGCCAGTTTGGCAAGTATCTTAAAAAGCCTGAAGATGAGGAAAGATGAAAAGACTCTAAGTTTCAGTTTTACTTTAGTGGCAGCAGTTTGTCTGAACGCAGAAAGGTTAACATCTCCTGGAACGTTAGGGTCAAGTCTCTTTTATTTCTCAATAGTTGTGCATACTGGTCTGTTTGTTCTCTAGCTTTGGTGGTTGTACTGAGTTTCTCAAAGCGAACCATTCATAGTTTGCCCATGTTACGTTTTGAACTAAGTCAGAGTTAGAATATATCTTATAATCCCATGAAACTTCTGGAGCATATTGGTATCCGACATAGAAAATTCCTATGTAACTTTCTTGTTCAGACAACTTGGCAGAAGTTTTTATTTCAATGTCTTGTTCACGTATAAGAATGAGTTGTCAATAGAAATAATATGAAAACCTGTCGCAAGCAATATCTACTGTTGTTGAAGAACCTTCTCCAAACTCACCTACATTTCCATAAGAAACAGCAGTTGTATATTCCGTAAGTTCCAGGAACTATTTCTGACCTTCTAATGGCATTGTCGCATTCGTTATACCATTCGGAAACATTTCCTTCATGGCATCCCAAAACTGTTGGCGTTATATTCTGAGCGGCGTACATTTCATATGGGTAAAAATATAGAATAGTTGGGATTTATATGTCAATAATAGAACCCACTCGTACCAAGCTTTACTTTCTTCCTGACTGAGTTTTAACTCTTCTTTTTTTCCTTCATTGCCATACTTCACTAGATGAAGTTACTTCTTCACTATTTTCACTTTGTTCTTACTCTTCTCTTCTTCTTTGGTGTCGCTTTTGGTACTTGCCCTCTGCTTGTTTGCATCTTTGCCTCATGTTCACCTAGTATGTTTGTAAATTTCGCCATGTCCTTTTTGCCTTTGGGCTCTGGTTCGCCATCTCAGGTAACCATAAATGCCATAGAAGATTTTGTCATAAGTTTGTATTTGAGTCTTCGCGTATTGTTTGCATGACTCTTTTCTGAGTTTCCGGTCAAGCTCTTCAAATAGAGCTTGTCCATATGGAATAAGCTCGTTTCCAAATAATATGTTTTGTAAGGCCATTTCGGATTTTCTTCCATGTAACCAATAATATCTTTTGTGAATTGGGAAAGCTTTTAACCCCAACGTTGTCAGTCTTGCGTCATTTATTTCTGTAGTTGGTTTTAACTTTTGTCAAGGAAATGTTTTTCATACTAATAACATTTCATTTTGGTATTGTCCATTTGAGTTTCTTTATATT